GGTACTCACCCACGATCACGTACGCGGGACTTTAACCGAGGACCTTTGGTTTCGCGCACGAACGCTTAACCTCTAGACCACTGAGCCGGTATCCAATGTCTAACTTCAACCAATCTACGATACTGTGCGAGACGTTAGAAATGTAAATAAAAGAAAATTGTAGTATTTTGTGGGGCCCTTAATTTTTTCGTCATTTAGATCGGACGATGTTTGTTGACGGGCTCTCCACTTTAGTGGTCCGCGGATCTGACTCCAATTAGATCGTATGAATGTTTGTTATCGCCTGTCCTCGTATATAATCATTGACTTAAATCGCGTTAGTCAATAACGGGATTGATTAAGTCAAGTAACGAGAATGGACTTTTGAATACTTATATTTTGTATATGCAGCGGATAGAATAGAGAGAAGCGAAACGACGCGCAGTGGAGATGGCGAGTAAGTCAATTCCCATTTAATCAAGCGTTAACCAATATTTATAGGCACACAAAAATAAGTTACAGAATGTGATGAGTAATGGGATAAGAAGTGCACATACACGAGCTCATATAAAAACAGTCAAGATTGATGAGCGAATAATAAACAAGGTCAAAATGTGACTCAAGTAGAATGAATAGATTGGGCTGTTCGAAAGCGAGAATAAGATATATGGACTTAACATAATAACCAATACTACAAGTACACACAACATGATGATCACAACGAAAAATGATCAATTCTTCATGATAGCTTTAGTTGTTTTTAAAACAGGTAACATATCAGTAAAATTAAGATGTTAATAAATGTCATTACTTAGAAATGTGTTTATGAACTTTCAGTATGTCTAACGTTAGTTACACAATGTTATTCTAGTATGTAGTGACAGGAATGCGTAGGAGTAAATTGTTTGTTTTAGACAACACATACTAAACTTCTCTTAATTACATTGATCAATTCATTTACTGATCAGGCAAATTTAAAAGGTTTTGGTTACAAATCATTAAATACTAAATATTATTTAGAATTCTATGGTCGAATAACAAGAAGTAACCTTAATAGATCAATATATAGTTGAAGAGCTTTAGAACTTCCAGGTTTTCCACGTGTAATTAATTGTGGTTACTTCAGTTAAAAAATCGATCAAGCCAGCACCTATCTACCAATCCATCAAGTCTATAAACAATTTATGAACTCACTCAGTGTTTGGTGACAGTAAACAAAATAATTATTGCTTTCTCAAACTTCATACTTAAATCACTACAATTAAATATTTTGATATCTATATTTTAAAAGTCATTACAACAAAGTGAACAAGATATCTTGAGTTTATATATACAACAACTAACACTATGAGAAACGCTTTGGTTCGAATTAAAAATAAAATCCCGTTCACTTCTACTCAAAATTGTGTCTACAGATTAGGTTGTGTCGATTGTGATGTGTTCTATATTAGAGTCTTCCCGTGAGATTTCGACTTGTGCCAAGGAACACTTGCGTTATACAAAAAGACCTAATAATCCTGTAGAATTGGAAAATTTACAAGTTAAATCAGCAATAGCAGCACATGCTATTTTCAGTAATCACCAAATTGATACTAAAAATATCAAAATAATTCAGAAAGACTTTTCCAACTACAAAGAGAGGCTAATAGCCGAAGCGTTTCACGTAATGCTAAATCCCTCTGCCCTTAGTAGGAAAGAAGGCCTACGTCTCATCAAACCTGAACTGTTTGTCCAGACAACCACACTTGACCTTAATTTTATTATTTTGACACATAACAAATGCGTACATTTTTCTTACCCACATTCTGACACAGTGGCAGGTTATACAAATTCAACTTAATCAATAATAACTTGACAGTGACATATTCAAACTTAGTATGATTTTGATTGTAACAAAAATATTCTGCACTGGTCCCTTTGTACTATATAAATTCATTTCTGTTATTTATTTACTTTAAAGGATTGGCTTACATTAATTTACGAAACGCAGAAATATAGTTTTTCTACTCATTGGGGTATAATCAGAGAGGGGTTCATGAGTCAATTGAAGCTAGATCACCATGGAAAACCTGGAAGTACTGAACGGCTGTTTCGTCCTAGTATGGGACACCTCAGCAGTGCGCATCCATGATCCCGCCCCGCGAGATAACAAAAATATATATATTATTAAATCTCTATCCAGTGCTCAATTTATTTGAAATTATCAAGTCCAATCTTGATATTGATATCATACAAGTAAGCATAATATAACCAACAGATAGAACTAATAGACCAAGTCATATAATAACTTAAAATGCGGTTTAATGTCAGAAACCATCAATTTTATATATCATTCTCACTCCAATCGATTATGTCATTACCCTCCATATCAATATTTTTAAGGCTCAGTGTATTAGACGAATGAATCCTGAAGTAAAACATTTCCCATTTCTTTCATGCATAAACCGTGAGAAAAATAAACTAACAACCATAGAGTTTATCTTTTAAATTTCAAGTATTCAGAATTTTGAAAGATTATTTAGTGTTTATAAAATCCTATAAATAAATTATCAGAATGGGGTTTGTGAAGATTGTAGATCACCATTACAAGTCTTCATAACCAAATTACCCAACATGGTCTACATATATATTGATACAAGCAAGTTTTCCTAAAAAACTTATTTAATAAACTCTCATGTGACAAATTACTTCTTATTCAGTGTCTTTTTTATTTTATTTTATGCAATGTCCAAATAAGGTTAGTATAATTTCTGTCCAATTTATTTCCACCAGTATGGTCTCTTTATTTAAGCTACTACTACTACTGCTACTACTACTTATAAGTACTTTCTCTTAATCAATGGTTTGTTTTCTGTAGAATATCGCTTGAACAATCAAAATATTTTTTATACTAAGATCTTAATTCTAAAAGGATACTTAATCACAAAATATCTTATTTTGTTTATCTGGAAACTAAATAGTTTAGACTTTTGTTCGCTACAGTTTTTCAATATTATCATGCATAAGGATAACAAGATTATCGTTTTCTATATAAATTTCAGTTTTGATGGAGTTTTGTTCTCTGAGCTAGATGGTTTGGTCTGATGATGTCGTTTAGAATAACGATGAAAGCTCCACGGCCAAACCATCCAGCTGAGAGAACAAAACACCATCAAAATCATCCACGTGAGCTACAAATCTTTTCCACAATCTCAAATTTCAGTTTTCTTTTGTGAAGAAATAAAAGTATCTCTCAACTGCTTAGTTATTAATCAAAATTGATGTGATATTTTGTGCTTAACTACGATCTCTATTTTATAACAGGCTTCTACAGGATGCGTAATGATTTGTTTTTGTTCTAGATGTCTTTAAAAAAATACAATAATGTTAAATGAGCTGTAAAAATAACCTTTGAATTCATTCCGGTGTTAATACCATCTGTTATGTCCGTTCGTATTTAAATGAAATGTAAGTTTAATGATAAGAAGTAGTAAAATAAATAGCTTAAATTATTATTAATTGTTAATATCGATATACATTCAACTGGTAGGTATCGAATACAAAGAAATGGGGATCATGAACTTTACTGTTAATCTATATATGAGGTAAAGTTTATAGATTTAATATTATATATATATATGCATTTGGTTTTTCCTAACATTTACTGCAATAACAAAGTTTTTCTGTTTGTGCGATTGTTTTTTATGAAATAGCCTTACTGACTTTTATTGATTTCATTACAGATGAATTAAAAAATAAGCACTTTTTGGCAGAGTTCCAAATGTACGTAATAAGGTCAACCCAAATCAATTAATTCAGAAATCACTACACAAATGAAATGATTGGTAGCAACTTTATCAACAATGGAATAAATGTGAATGAATTAAAACTTTTGTATTTTTTAAAATTTATTTATTTATATTTTGTGCTATGCGTTTAACCCTATTTTGTATTATCAGAACGGGGATTTGTGGAGGTTGTAGTGAACTAAAAGTTAAATTCATGAGTCCATCTAAGCTAGACCAACATTAAATATCTGGAAGCACTCGAAGGACGTTCGCGAGCGGGATCGCACTACTAAGGAGTCCCACGATAAGACGAAACGGCCGTCCAGTGCTTCCAGGTTTCAATAGGTGACCTAACATCAATCGGTTCATGATCTCAATCAAAAACTTAATAATCTCCACAACCCCTATATTAGTAATCAACATGTGCTCACTAATGACTAGCTTCGTGAGGGAATTCTCGGAGTTCAAGTGAGAAGCCATGACCAGTGGAGCTAATCCATGTCGGGTAGAGACAGGTATCTACCTCAGTACAATGGAAGTTGGTCACGCAATTTCGTGGATTGGTTGATGTTAGACACCATCACCATTGGATGCCGGCTCAGTGGTCCAGTAGGTTAAGCGTTCAAGCCATGGGTTCGAATCCCGCGGGGTGCGGGATCGTGGATGCGCACTGCTGAGGAGCCCCACAGTAGGATGAAACGTCGGTCCAGTGCTTCCAGGTTTCCAAAGGTGGTGGTCTAACATCAATCGGTTCATGATCTCAATCAAAAACTTAATATAGGAATGTGATAACTTGTCGTTTGAATGCTTCTTGTCTTGGCTCTTTTAATACTACTTTATGTATCTAGGTCGTCGCTGACTGTTATGTCGGAAACACTTGTCACTTATACTCGGAACGCGGGACCTCTGCCATTCCCATGACGCGAAAGTAAGAACACAAAGACTTGTATAAGTGATGATTTATTAACCACCAAAACACGATGACAACAATCCTAGCCGGAAATATACTCATTTATATATTGGTTATACGCACACTTTGATTAATAATTAAGATGAAATCACATGTATAAAAATACTCAGTTATAACAAATCACTTGCTGAGCATAGTTCATGTCAATTAAATACAAGAATATCGTATATTATACAGAATAAAATATCATACGAGAAAAGAAAAGCAAATACTACATTGAGTAATCATTACATTGAATCAAAACGGAATTAATCTTGAACAAAACTCATAATGAGTAAATCAATCGAAAATTGACTTTTCTTCCCATCATATCAAGATATATGTAAGTTATTATAAAGTACTCTTTTCCATACGAATGATATTCGTTCTTAACTCTGTTATTTCTGAAATTTAAATAGCCAACCTAAAATGGATATAGGAAATTAGGTGAAGAAGAAAACAAAGACAGTCTTCAGTATATTTGTCGTCCATTGAAGATTCACACATAACAGTAGTGACTGATTATTTGCAGTTCCACATATTAACAATGTAAAAATATAACCTTTATTAATGACATTTTGTTAAAGAAATACTAGGTGATATAATCCTATTTAAATAACTGAATTTCCAACATGGAATATAAACAATATTAATCAGTGAAATAAAAATGAACACGATAGCTGTTTACAACCATTTTTTTTTTCGAAATGTCAAGTGATTTGATCAAATTAAATCACTCACGTCTCACATTCTCCCCATTTCATTGGTTATACTCATAGTGAACACATAAAGAATAAGTATGTTTCAGGTGAGAAACAATTCATTCACTTGGTAAAACCTCAATATATTATATATTTTCTTCAAGGCTTCTTACTGGCTACAAACAACCTGAATCTGTAGTGGGCAATGACATGAATTGTGTTACTTAATACCTCTGTCAATTAAATTTCGTCCAAATATTAACTGTACAATGGAATAAAAAGATGAAAAATAATTTAGTTGCTTGAACCTTAGCTTAAGACAAGGAGGTTATGATAGTGTTTTTATGTAATGACTATTACGATGTACTTCATTCGCGACTAATTAGAATAATAAAGCACAGTGTGCTCACCACTTTCTCTATGACCATTTTTAATCACAATGTCAGTTTTTTTCTTATTCCTAGTAAAATCAATCAGTCACATATTATTTACGCTTTCGTATCATAATTTTAATCCCAAACACAAAATTACAGTAAGTTGGACCTAAAACCTAAAAATAATGTGTAACAGTTTGGTTGTGTTTCATAACAGTTTATTAACTTTGGTTATTTTTATTAAAAGAATTATGAAAGAGATAAAATTTCACTAATATAAGGTTTCATTGTCACCATTTATTTCAAAATAATCGTCTGTATTCAAACATCACGATACTTATAAGTCAGTAAACATTCATGTGAAACCTAAAACTAGAAAACATGAAACATCAGTTTAATTATCGTTTGGAAACTCTGAAAAGGAATATACTATGGTCTCAGAAGTATCACTCCATATGTTCAGGATTCTGGCAGCAATAATAATTGGTTTTTCTTAACAAGTAACGTCATAATTCATACAACCAACTTGGTTTCATAGATCTAGTTTGATTCAGTGGTTGTTTATCCTAAACTAAATAAAGTCAAAAGTTATTCCAGTGGGTCAAACGATTATATTTATCTGCTAAGCATACTGGTCTGACGAAAGTTTTCTTTGATGTGATTTTTGTTATTTGTAATGTAACACGGTATTTGTATACGTTATTAAAGTTGTACAATGGAATTCGATTGTAGCAGTAAACGAACCTGATATGTACCGCTAATTTATTGTGAAGGGGATATGAAGAAATAGATAACTGAAGTCCATATTCCATTGTCATATTTTAATAAACTAATCGAAGAGACTTCGTAGATTAGGTCTTTTTTCTTCTATTTACAGATCAGGTTGTGATCAAATACGGAAGCTGAAGATATAAGGTATACAAAGTTTCAACTTTGTAACTTTTCGAATACTTGAAGGATCCACAATCAAGAAGGTTAGATTAAGGTAGACATCATTTACAGTCACTAACCAGTATCTCATGACATGGACGCTCGGCTGATTTTACCACAGTTCCATCACCGAACGGATTTAAGAGAAATCCAGATTATTACTAATGAATTGACGAACTTTCTCCAGCTGGGATACCAAACAAATTGATGAAACAAGTTGCCACCGTTTGTAATCATATTCCTAAGTTTGTACATGCCGAACTGTCCTATTTGATCCTCTCCTCTCTTTTATTGCTCTACATACATACTGCTCCTATAACTACCCTGTCTCTTGAAAATATGATGAGCTTACATCAATTCATCATTAAGTGCAACAATGTGCCTCAACACGTGTGAATACCTGTCCGATCCCCATTAGTCTTCAGTCCTTATGACAGGAAGCAATCTCATCTTATTCTCCTTATATTTCGGCCAATTAAGTTATTTTATGCTCTAGAAGCCACAAGTCAAACCACAGATTCTAAAAAATGGCAGATTTACAGTCGTTGATCTAAACACTATTGGCCTAACGAAACCACGGTATAATGCGCAAGCTAACAATTGCAACCAAGTACTATACAGAATATACCCCATTAAAAAACAATAATCCTCTGAACAAATGAGTCATCTAGATCATGAAGTATGAACATGGACGAATAGTATCACTTTATTCTCCTGACCTTGTCCACAAAGTAATTAGCGAATAAGAAAATAGTAAGACAGACATGCACAACCATTCAACCAATCACTTTATTTATTATTGTCTGGTTGAAACTGAACCAACATGGCTAAGGCTTATCATCACAAAGTGAAGATATCGCGTAAGTGATGGATATTTCTGTGCCTTGCCCCTCTGATTTCGTCGTTGAACGATTTATCGGTCGTGGATGTTACTCTTTTGTATATGAAATTCGAAAAACAACTGGCTTTGATAGCGGTTCTAAATATGCTTTAAAACGTTTTCTTCTGGAGAATGACTCCGCAATTAAGTGCGTTTTGAGAGAAAGACGGATTTTAGAACGTCTTGCTTTGTGTGATTTCCAAAGCCCATTTCTTCCTATGCTCTGTTACAGTATGTGGAAAAACTATTCGTCTGCTTTTGTTCTTCGAGAAGGCTCAGGCTGTGATCTTTATGATCTCCTATGTCACGTTGGTTGCCTGTCAGAAAGCAATACACGTTTTTATATCGCAGAAATTATTTGCGGCCTGGAGCATTTGCATTCACTGAGTATTGTACATTTGGATGTTAAACCTGAAAATATTCTCTTCTATCCGGACGGCCATGTGTTTGTTTCAGATTTAGATCGTTCCTACGATATTTCCCAAAATATCAAGCCCACGCTAGACGACTTTACCGGAACTCCTCTATTCATGGCTCCGGAAGTCGCTCGAGGTGAAGCCATAGACACAAGGTCTGACATATGGAGTCTGGGTGTCCTTGTTGCTGAGATGGTTACTGGTCCTATCCGGCGTGAAGCTGAAAATACTGCCGAGGAATTTAAACGAGCACGTATGGGTACATATAACATACGGGGTTTAAAGCGTCTTTCAAAACCTCTTCAGTCGTTTTTTAGCGCCTGTTTGCAACGCCAGCATACACAACGTCCTTATCTAAAAGGTGTAAAAGAGCTTCGGTTCTTAAAATGTGTTGATTGGTGCAAGGCTGGGTCCAGACTTCTTCGTCCTCCATATTCGACTTCAGAACTCCGTCACCGACTGACAAAAGAAGATAAGACCTCGGTATCCTCCACTGATGTAAATCTGCTTTCTGGAGCATTTAAACCTTGGAGACCAGTCAAATTCAATTCAAAAATGTCACAGAGCACAAACACTGGTGATTCTGAACCTGGGGATATTCCGTCCTCCTTGAAAAAAGCAGGATACACTGAAGAGAAACTGGACTTACTGTTTAACTCGTTCAACTTTATACATCCGAGTTTACGGAAATCTACTGCCGATACTGGCGTTTCAGATTCTTTATCAAAACTGACGGTGAAGCTAGATACAGCTAAAGGTTTAGTCGATAGCATACCAAATACTAAACATTCTAAAGGTCTTATTAGTAATAATTCTATGGGACCTATACCTTTCCGAAGACCTAGGTCCAGAGGTACATCTATTGGGGATTGACTATCTTATGATTTGAAACTGTACTTAATATATATGCTCGTACATGTGGTTATCTCAAATCGCAGTCGAACAACTGGGTTTTCGAGCCAAAAACAAGTAACAGTTTTATGTGGTTTTAATTTGATGTTTTACTTTCCAAGAATGTACTTGTCATGCAACTATAAAGTTTTAATATTCTCCGGATTATTGTCTTCTCATCCTTGTCGTAGGCCATTTGCGTTGTTCTAACTAGTGGGTTATCTATGTAAGTAAACAGTTCTGGACTCGATTTGTAGACGGAAACACTAAGTAGTAGTTGTAGATTTGAAATAAGTGATTTTTTTCTATCGTTTAGTAGTTTAAACATAAATTTATGATACAACAAATGGTCTAAAATCTCTACAGTCCCTCGTAAAAATGTACATCTTCGATTTTCTATTAACAGGACATGTATGCATTTATATTTTGCAAATTATAGTTACAGTTTGGAAATACTAATACACAACAAAGAACCTTACTCATGCTTGCTGTCTTAGATCATCTTGTTTCAAGTAAGTTTGGTGGGTGAAATCAAATAAGTAAACACTAAACCTACCCAGATAATTAGTCGAGCGGACAAGAAACCGATATACTCAGGAAGTTGTACTCTAAATCTTAGAATAGGTATGCAGTAAACATATTTGGCTTATGTCGCCTAGGGAAGTTGTATTTACTAAATAATGGTGTCTCAGCTCATAAAGTTCCAGAGGTGAGTGAAGCGAATTCGTCGCAAATGCCCTGGTATGGCCGAGAGTGGGATGGGTTCGCCCTCCCTTTCGAAATGCTCTCACACGGCCACGTGTATACAGCCTCTGCCAGTGAAGTCCTAATCATTGCCTTCTCGTGGCAGGGGTGTTGTTTACAAAATTGAGAGGACGAAAAGCGGATGTCCGGCGCTTTAACCGGATCCCAAACCAATGGTGCACATGGGCTCCAGTATCATGTGGGAACAAGTGGCGTATGAACCAATCGTTGGTCACCGGTTACCATGAGACTGCATCTCTTCACGATGCCTTGTGGGTCAGACCTTTAGGCCCAAGACTCGGGGTGTGGCCCCCTTGGAAAACCACTTGCTTCGGTCTGGGCACCCGGGCAGTATCCCTCTCACACAAATCGGATGATTTGTGTGGCGCATATGTATTTGGTGCCTCTTTGTACCAATGTTTATGTGTCTAAATAAACAAGCGAATTGCGGCACCGATGGTAACATAAGTTAAAATATTCAGACTCCTGGAATATTTAGAAAGATAATTCTGCTAACACAACAAACTCCTAATTACCTTGTGGATTTTGCCATTTAAGTACCAACTCACCTAACTCAATAGATAAGAGAACTCAGCTCACTAAGTGTTTGTAATGCACTTGGTCCAAACTGTTGGATTCTGTCATTTTTCACGTAGTTACACAAAGAATTCGAGAAGTTGACTATGAGGGTTCGTTTTCTAGTTGTTAGGTCCTTGTCCGTTCCTTCTAAGAAACTGTAAGCCTATCCACGTGGCTCGGTAATCTTATTGGTGACTATCGGCTTGTGCTATTTATTCATGTATTTAGGGCTCTCAGCTACTATACCTCGCTGCTATATACAAGGTAGAAAACCATTATCGCTTCCTACTTTAATCCTAAGCGCCAACTGAGATCTCATAGTTGCTACTCCGTCATGGTTTATTCAGTTCATCTGCACTGTATAGTGGTTAGCCTAAGTTCATTATGAAGACATTAGTTATGCAACAGTTTATGAATCTGTATCACGTTAGGTTTATTGGTGTTCTGTTACGGATGTTGAGCTACGACAGACTCTGTTGTGTGCGACTAACCAAATACCGTTTAATATATTGTGCGACTCTGACACAGCACATATCTATGGATCCTCAGGTTATTCATCTAATTTACGTCTAAGATGAAGTTTTGATAGCTAAGGCTGTGTAGTTAGCTCATAACTGATCACTTTTTGTTAACTTACTCATCCATTACCTGTTTAAAATCTTAGATATCTTACTTTATATATGTTTAACAAATACTGACTTACATTCTTTGTGTTCATTTTTTTGTATTCAACTTAGTTTCAGTATAAATCTTTTAGTTAATGATGTCTCATGGTTCAGAATCGGTTATAACAGGAAAAATGCATTAATTCATTGTTGTAACTTATGTCATGGGTTGCATAATTTTCTATACCTTCCTGCTTGAATCCTATTTTGTGTCTCTTTTCTGTCACCACTAATTACTGCTACCTCTTCCAGTGCTTTGATATTCATGTTATTGGTTCCCTTCACAAAGAGTAAATAATTAACCTCCGACTGTTTTGCAGAAGGGAAGTAAACATGTTAACCTTTCTTCCTTTATGTAACTGTAGCCACAATCTTTTCTTTCTGAACACTCCAGAATTTTCCCTGTTACAGCACTCTTGAATGTCCTAAAACAACCACTCCAAGTTTGATTATTAATTCCTTTTGAATCTTACGCAATTTGGTCGTTTCTTATGGACAGTTCTTTTCGGCGAATTCGGTATTTTGTCAATAGTTAGGAATAACTAGACTTATCAGCCAGTATGCAGCTAAGAAGGCAAAAAATGGAATTGATTAGTCGTATTCTGTGGATATTGTCATTCTTACTTTGTTTAAACATATTTAGGTTGTTCACTAAAGATATCTATCTCTAAAATTTAGTTCATTAAGTAAGTACTATTTAAAGGACCAACCATACATACAAACAGATTAACAGATCATGAAATACTACCAATGTAAAACCATTAGTTTGGCGTAGAAAATATACAATTCTCTTTGCTAGGTTTAGTCAGGCTACCGGGTCCTAAGTTGTAGACTAGATGATATGATTTACTACTGGTCTGATTAATGCATACCTACTCATCTTACAGTTACTATTACTCCATACGTTTATTCCTTTATAGTTAGTCTCTGCTGTTGGTGCCCAATACTTTTACTTCCTTTATCCTCACTTTTCAATACGATACAAAATATAATGAATTGAGCTAATATGCACTTGTACCAGTTTCCACGTAAAATATGTGCTTGGCATGAGAGGTTTATTCCTTTTAGTTATAGCCTACATAGACCAACTTTCAATCATTAATCCCCATCCTTTTATCACGTGACTCAACAACTAGGCTCAGTAAATCGAATGTGTTTACTCTTCGTCTTTCTTTGAATCATGCCTGTATACCATTTTTAGTATTCATTTCTGGATTCATTTGTTACATTTATCCATATTTCCTAAGCTTAGCTCTTACCACCGTTCATGTTATTATTTCGACTACCGCTTTTCGTGTCGTTACTTTTCTCTTGTGAAGTGAGGTGACGAAATTGGATCAATACACGTATGTATAAGGTCTTATGTTCTTTATGACTGATAAAGAAGAATGAACAACCAGGTAGCTCAAAATCATAGTTAACTGGGCCGAATCATTAATATACTTACTTGATACATATAAGGAACTAGTGCACCTCAGACGCTTAAATTATTTAGTCTTCACCATTCGACCTTTATACAGTCTGATAATGTTCGTAAGATGCACATTTAAAAACTAGCTCAAAGCCTCAAGCATCTTTTAGGCATCAGCATCGCCACTGGTGTAATTTTTAAGCAAATACGAAAAGGTGGCTTATATTTTTGGAACAGATAGTACGTTTGTGCGACACCACTTCACATCGCGGCTGACTGGTTGGGGGCAAAAAACTTTGCTGATTGTATTATTTCTCTGGTGTTAGAAACTCGGTTTCATAGAGACTGACCTCCAGCTACTCTTCATTTTTTTCTACTCATTACTGTGGGTTTCTAGAAATTGTTGATTTTATGGGTCGCATCTAAGAATGACCTTAATCAAGCATTTGTTGAAAATCGGGAGACACCAAGCAGCTATTTCTTACTGGTAGGGGACAATGCACATTCACGACCTCACCGCTGTTCGGAAACTTAAGTTTCTACAACCTCCACAGATTAATAATTTGTTCACAAGTGAATAGTTCGGATGATTTCTCGAGTGCAATTCAGGAACTGTGACCAATATAGTTCAACCATGTCAGATATGAGGTAGTAAAAAATATTGACTTCCACAATCATCTGACGCCTAGATCGTTCAAGAGAGTATTAAACCCCTAAGCTAGTTCCAGTCCCAGCAGTAGGTTCACCGTTCCGCATGTTTTTGAACGTAGGCATGTGCCAACGTTTGATGTTAACCTCACTTCCCGACCTAGGTGCGAGACCCAACTACATCTATCAGGGTGCTGTGTGACAATGCTTATCAACAAAAGATCTAAAAGGAAAATATGCGAACCTAATCGGTTCTTAATCGAACACCAGTGATTGTTAGGGCTCGCGACCAACTGTCGTCATATTTAGCTGCCGTAAGTTTGTCAGTGTTGCTCACTCTAGTCTCGTTTAATCTGTAAAGAAAACTTCATAGGTGATGCTTTCTTCGCCTGACTTTCCAGGGACTGATCTGTCAGGAGATTCACTTGTCGACTTTAAGTATGTGGATGACAGTTCTGTTTGTTGGCCTCCAAAACCCTTTAGTAATAAAGTAAATGTTTGGAATGCGCTTCGTTTCGTCACTTGTAGGGTAGTTGAAATGTCTGTCTGTCTAATAAACAGCGGACATTCTTCGGCAATACGCTCTTTATTACTGAATAGTTGTTGGACATCGTCTACGAAATTAGGAGAGCTGCGCCGGCCTCAGGTTTTTGATTATAAATATTTTCGGAGCATTTCTTGCGTATAGTGAAATGTCCGGGTAAGAGATAATACTGGGGGTGGCCACAATTAAAGGTAGGACCAGTTCGCGAAATCACCGGCTGTTAGGCCAAATCATGTTGATAGATGAAGAGTACTTAGTTGGGCTCCGCGAAATATGTGGTTAGTGGCTGCATGCGATGATTCGAAACCGATCATAGCAACCTGAATGCATTCACCCTTGGTCGTAAACTTTGATATTATTTTAGATTTTTATTCCTCGAATTTGTCCCTTTAAGAACTGTTTTGAAATCATTATTCGCATTCAATATCGTTGACAACGCTATCATTTCGACTCGCTTTTTATCTCGTAAATTTGATTTCTGCACGTTGGTGTAGGTATGGCAACTTGGGTTAACGAATACTTGTGTCAGGCCATGCTGATTATGAATGATTGGACAGTTAAAATTGAATAGACCTAAAACAGGCAGGTCAATAGGTCAGTGTGAACCCATCAGGAATATATGCAGACAAACGAAGTCACGCACCAGTACCTTGCCCAGTCGCAAACGTCACTAACGCGTCAAAAACAAAATCTAGAATATTTGAGTACCCACTCTATCGTTATTTTACCAGACACATCCGCACTCCCTCCAGGCCTCATAAACTTAAAACTTTATCTGGAAGTCACAGAATTTAGCCTGTGCTATATTTATGATTTTTTGCTTCAAAAGTTGGTGTACCGCTTCACTCATCACACATAAACTTATTTTTCCCTTGTTATATTAAGCCCAGAAACTAGTAAATGAGAATAGCAGAGAAGCAAAAAGTTGTTGTTAAGTAATATACAGGATGTTATCGATAGCTTATAAATTGACAAAAGGGACAAGTTACTATGATCTATGATGATATATGTCAGTATTTGAATGAGTAGTTTTACAGAAATTGGACGCCAAGTATGTAGAGGACACTACATTACTATAAATTTGTATTTTACTTTTGACTAATCTCTGTCTTTAGGAATTCTTTGAAAGCTGACCGTCAAAACCAAACCCAAAAGGAGTTCAGCAGACATTAATATCGGGATGTAAATGTCAACTAGAGGACGAAAAAAACTGATACATATAACACTTATGTTGAAAATACTCAAATGAAACAACTAAATGATACAGTCAGACGAACAACTAAACAGGATAATACTAAGTCTAGTACCTTGGAAAGGCAGTGTGGTCCATTTTTACCATGTAGTTTGAGACATGATCTAATTTTTGGTCATCAGTTTGTAGTTCATCATAAATTTTGGACAACAGCGAAAGCAACTCAGTTATTTTTATGACCATCCTGAACCTTTGATAACCCGAGCTTTGATTCAGTCATTGACGAAATAAGTTATTGAACATACTTAAAGAACGTCGGGGGTCTCCATAATTACAACCTCACCAAGGTACATAAGCTACATTTTAAACGTTTCGGGAACTAAAATCGAGTGGATTTCGTTGATGTAATTTTAACGAGTCTTGCAACCGAATAATCGGGAGTAGTAGCACTCCAAAGAGACATCCCCGTATCTTGATACGCTGTTTGGAATGAAGTATAAACCGTAACAGCAGCTAAGGATAAGTAAGATGTATACATCGATGTAAAGCGACATGAAAACAATATATTTTATCGAATTTCTCTGGAATGATTTAGCCCGGGGAAACATAGAAGGACACATGTACAACAGTCTAGGCATAGGACTTTCTGAATTCATACAATGAGAAGAATTGATTACTTCATAAACTTTACCGTACATATTAGATATTAACATGAATGGGACGTTTCATGACTCGGAAAACAATAAAACTTCATAGAAAACATGGTATTAACGGAGAAATCCAATAGGGAAGCATGAGTTTTAAAACATGACTTTTTGGGATATGACATTAGGAGTGACGCAAGTGACTAGTCCATCTGAGTAGGAATGTATGGGTTAATATGCTAGACGTTAGTTAAGTCGCACTGTATTGAAGCCGGTGATACTACTGCTTTCACATCTGAGGTAAATACATTGAGGTTCAAGCTTAGAACCTAATGATTGGAAGTCGAGTACTTCAACCATCAGGTCACCGTGTATAAAGCTACGAATACCAGAAGTATGAAGAGAACCAATGTCAAATAAATCACCAAGTTAATGAGACTAGAAGGTTAGACTTCAGGTATTGTAGAGATCCTCAAAGGTGTCAATAGTTGTCTGAGTGTTCCAAGCGAACCTACATTCTGGAAACAGGAAGAGTTCAGTTCCTGGAAATGAGTACTGGCAGCACAGCTATCAAGAAAGATGGAGGGACTGGACAATGCTATTTGAAGTAGCCATTTTGGATGGTAATTTTCCGTAAGCTCAGACCCAACCTGTTATGTTAGCAAAAAACCTTCGGTAAACTGATGTGTTGCTTCGGTATGACTAGATATTGCTGCTACGAAATCTACAAATTAGGATGTTATGCCCCGATAAGCATAATGAATGTTAACTTTTAGGGTCCATTTATGGGTCAATACTATGTGTATATTTGTTAAATAACTAAACTAAACATATTCGTGTCCCTCATATTGTGAGCTTTATTTTGACCTATGAACTAATATTATACGGCTTACCATTCTTGAATTATGCTGTCTATTAATTACTACCTCCCACACTCACAGCCACTTTTGGCTAAATCTTGTACAAATGTTGTTTTATATTTTATGGTACGATATGGTCTGTTTGATTAGTATTTAAACCCAATATGCTTGAAGTTATTGATTCATATTGCAGAGGCTGAGGTTGGTGTTCTGGACTTAACTGGCTAGGCTAGGCAGGAAGCAGGACCAATGAGTACTCTAGACTGTTCGTACGGGTTTTGTGCGTCACTGGTCCGATCGATAAATCGCTGCTCTTTGATTGGCAGTATCGTTACGTACACATTAACAGGGCACACAGGCCACAAGTTATAACACAAGAGTAAAAAGAAACCTACGGCTCCCTGAAGACCAATCGAAGGGTTAACGTATAATACACACGTTTAGATCTAAAACGTACCGAGTTTTTTTTAGGTTGGTTGTCCCCAAGATCCAATAAAAACCTGATGGTCATGTGACTTAAGTCTTCAGAAACCATGTTTACTAATGATTAGACGTTATCGAAAGAGGGTATTCCTCTTTTCTAATATACTAGGAAGGTCGGCAATTTGGAATCACACCCAACTCTGACCACTGTTGTCGCTCTTACTGCTCCATCTTTTTAAATAAGTAGTGATCCCATATTTCTTTCGAAATATGAGCCGGATGGAGTAATCTTTACTATTTAACCCTTTGTTCCAGACTCTTAGGAACCAGGTCGCTGATCAGTCTCCTTGCATGATACTCGCTAGAGGGTTTTTAGTGTGATCTATCGCCAGTACCTTTCAAACTTTTGTTTTATATTCGTATGGTTAAAGCTTCAATAAACCTTAGTATACACCCTTTTACATCACAAAAGCCGAGTTAAGATGGCCTATTTCGATTGTTTGGCAGCAGATGATGATAGATATTTATATTCTACCTTTATTGGACCACTTGATTCTATTTGTTTCTGCAACCTTTTTGGTACATGTTCACACACCCTAATTCTGAGATCACGATTGCTCCTCCCTAAGTATGTGTGACCACACACACATTTAA